CATTACAGCAGCCGGAAAACTAAGAAAGGTCGACAGGAAGGGGCTATCGTCGACCTGCAGAAACAAAGCCCCGATATTCACTGTAAACATTACGTCGTCTGGAAAAGTTCTGAGCCTGTACATCGATGGCCGAGTTAATGGAGAAGACAGATCCTTGCTAGTAGACACAGGTGCAACAAGAACTATTGCAAGACCAGAGTTATTGAAGAATCATTCTCGGATCTCATCTTCGACCGTGCAGTTTAAAACAGCAACTGGTGAAAGAATAAAAACGCACGGAGAAATACAAATGTCTGTCACCATCGGAAAGACCACCATCAATCACCAGGTGCTAATTGCTGATATTTCTGATCAATTCATCTTGGGGGTGGATCTTCTTAAGAAACTCGGAGCTGTGTTAGACGTGAAAAAGGGCGTGTTAAAGGTCGGCGATGAAGAACTCCCTTTCCATGAAGACAAAGAAGATGTCATCCGCCTGTTAACCACTCATGACGTCATTATACCCGGACTTAGTGAAAAAATTATAATGACCACTTTAGATGGATATTGTCGCCAGGGAAGCCTACGGATAGTCGAAGCACTAAACGCAAAGGAATTTCTAGTGGCTAGGGCTCTGGTAAAAGTTCAAAATGGCGTTCCGATTCGAATTTGGAATTTGAAAGATAGTCCTGTTAAGCTAAGCAAACGAACTGCAGTTGGACAGTGTGTGCCCATCTCGGCTATTCGCTCTGTGAAATCGGAAAATCTATCTAAAGGAAAGTATCCAAGAGAGCTGATAGATATGGTCATTAAAAACACTCCAGATTTGGAAGAATAGGCGAGTTGTTAAAGCAAAGACCACGAGTGGGTAAAGTACTGCGCTTGGAAGATAATCAACGCTCTTTGATCTACTTGGTTTCAAAGAAAACGTCAGAAGGCAAACCCACCTATGAAAACCTCTGGTCTGCTTTAAAAAACTTAAAGAAACTCATGGCATACTATGACATAAATAGCTTGGCGATCCCGAAGATTGGATGTGGTTTAGATGGGTTGGACTGGAAAATAGTGCGAACCATGATCGAAGTGATTTTTAGAAACACTAGCGTTCGAATTACAGTATGCTGCTTCAACCCACAGGGGACGACCCTCCGCAAAACTGTAGACTGTTACTTTTTCAAGAAAGGTGTTTGTCGAGCAGGCTCTGACTGCAGATTCCGACACGAGGCATTAAAAAGTAATACTAACGCAGTTTCTGAACGAGACGTCCAGAATTAAGAAGGGGGCAGTGTAACGGAAATGCTCCAGATATGACGTCGCCTTTGGCGCTCTGGAATTTTCTACGCGCGCGATAGTAGGAACATTCGAGAATGTACTGGACTTACATTGCTTGCGTGTATAAATGGTTGCGGACCGAACATCGCGGCAGTCTGCTACCGATCGAGTACGGACGAAACATAGAGCGCGAAAAGCTGATATAAATTTCGAAGTGTGTGATATAAATAATCGATATAAATTGTACGGATTTTATAGTGTTTTAGTTTTGTTTAATAAATATTGATATAAATCGAACCCGAATTAATAAATCACGTTACAATATAAACATTCACAATAAATAACTAAGAATTTACAAATTTTATAGTTCAATGTACATCATTTAAACAGTCTGTATTAAATAAGTGAAATACCTTGGAGTTATCATTCATACGCATAAAAATTTTCCCATTACGCACCCAAAGATATTTAATGTTATGCGTCTTTTTGTACTCTCTACACTTTGAAAATAACTGTCTGTTGTCATACGTTAGAGAATCATTGAGATAGATAGGCTTTGTTGCACTTTGACCTATATGCCTGTGATTAAATCCTTAAGGAACCCGGTATCAAAATTTCTTCTCACTCTTCTCGCTTTCATGAACTCGTCCTTGGCGATGCGACTTACAAATTTGACGATTATTCCACGAGGATCATTTGGTCTATTAGCGTTTTGCCTCAAACGATGAGTGGCGTCGATCATATTTTTTTCTATGTGGTAACCAACAGCTTCACCAATAATTTGCACGGTGCGAAGAACATCTTCATTTTTAATTTCTGGTATACCGTAGATCTCCACCGAATTTAATCTAGCATATTGGTTGGTATCGTTGATCTGCTTTTTGAGTTCCAGGTTTTCTCTCTTTAAGGTCGCATTTTGCAATGATAGCTGCTCTATTCTCTCTAAACAATTGCTAATTGTAATCTCTTGCGCTTTTAAGAGATTGTTGTTCTCTTCGACTCTCAAATGGCACACTTCAATGGAGTTGCAAATACTACTGTGCTTTAAAGATAACTCTCGCAACTCTTTCATGATGTCACTTAACGTAACATTTTCTTGAGTGTTCGCAGACAAACACAGGGCACATTTAAAAATCTCCTTACCGGACAGCAGCAAATCGACCGTTTGCGGTGTAACATGGGCACATTTGTCATGGAAATTTTTACGACATGTGTTACATTGAACAGCATGTCTGACCGATCCAATTTTATTATTACATACATTGCACTCTTAGCACAGGCGATAAGTACACAAAAAACGTCAATCTGAACATTTTGGGAGGGAAAGCTGGACTTTGTTGAAATGTCTCAGGTTAGGTGTCCCGAATAACGTACTAAAAGTCCAGATCCCCAACTGCGCCGCTCGTCGTGCTGTGGCACGTTTTTGCCCACCGAAATCAGTTTTTCGAAATGTAGCAGGCTTAGAGAAAAACTTTTGAAACAAAAAATGTTCCTCGTAAAATTTCCTACACGATAGCTTATTTGCAAGTTAGCCTAGACCTAACCGTTAGCCTACAGCGTTCTTTTGAGTAGTCTAATATCGAGTTTTTCGCCAGTCTACCTGCAGTATACACTATTTGAACACGAATTACTTTAGCTACGTCAGCGGAGTCAAATATTGTGTCAGGCAAGCAGACATTTCGATCGTCATCGGTTCGTTCCATAAGGCGGTCGAAAAAAAAAACGCTGCACTCAGTCTCCACGCCTACCGATGCTGTCATCAGGTGCAAAAATGGAGAGGAAACAATTTCTCTCCGATCGGATGGGGTTGGCACATACACAGTGCAGAACTTCTGCCTACACCGATGACCGCTGCGCCTAACTACTCCTGACGAGTTGCTGAATTTAATTTCATGCGCTTGTCAAAAAGGATGCTTATCTGCATGTTCGTACAGAAAAGCAGGTGCGTCCTGATAGAAGACTAAGCACCGATTTCTGTTCAGTTCTCTTCGAGGTTCTGAAATTCAGAGATACGTACTCATTTCTCTTTCTTCTCTGTGTTACAGGACTGAAATGTTCCAATTTACGCTCCGGGTGTATGGGTCTTTCATGCCTTAATGCTGAGGTACAAGCTGAGGAAGAGTCACACTTCGACGACAGTATGGACTCCGATGTCGAAACTACGCTGCATTCGGATGATGACATTGCTGTTGAGTCGAACGATGAAATGTATATAGAATTAAGTGATTATAATTTTGAACTGTAAATAAGAAAATACGTATGCTTCCAGAATCTTAATGAAATTTCTTAAACTAACGTTCAAATCGGCTATCCTATGGTACAATAAGTGAGAAGTATGTTTTTCATCAATAACAACCATAAGTACAAAAAATCATCAAAGAACTCAATATTAGACTACTCAAAAGAACGCTGTAGGCTAACGGTTAGGCCTGGGCTAACTTGCAAATAAGCTTTCGTGTAGGAAATTTTACGAGGAACATTTTTTGTTTCAAAAGTTGTTCTCTAAACCTGCTACATTTCGAGATATTAACGAAAAACTGATTTCGGGGGGCAAAAACGTGCCACAGCTCGACGAGCGGCGCAGTTGGGGGTCTGGACTTTTAGTACGTTATTCGGGACACCTAACCTGAGACATTTCAATAAAGTCCAGCTTTCCCCCCCAAAATGTTTAGACCGATGCACTTACCGCCTGTACTATCTGACATGATTAGAATTTTAAAAATTACATTTAAAACGAAAACTTTTGCATACGGAGCGCTATCGATACAACCTTTCACTTGCACGTTCAAACGTCGATTTTGAATCCGAGTGATTGACGTGACTCTTCTGCCATTAGAAGCTTTATACTTCTCCACGCCTCAGATGGAGACGTGCTGGGATTAATCAAGGAAGTATAACGATTCCAAGGGTCTCTTTTGCGTTCTAGAACTATTCTACGCGCCTTCGCCTTAGCTACCTTGAAAGTAATTAAATTGCGTTCGGTTTATTGTTTCTCTTTGCGTAGAGCCAAGTTTGTTACCGCTGGGTTCCGTGTGTTGGATAGGAAAGGAACGAAAAACAATTGCAAAGAGGACACTTCCGAGCAGACGGATGTCCCGAATGGGATAGGGAACGGTTGATGCTCTTCAATAAAATCAAGGAATCAAGTGGAAACGATGTGCAAAATAATGGTGAGATCGGAAAGAAATTGGGGGGAAATATGGGCAACACATAAGAAAATTCTACAGACGAAAGAAAAAGAAAAGAAGAAAGAAGAAGATAAAAACTATATTACTATGGCTAACAACAGGTATGCGAACATCGGGACACCCAACCCGAAGTAAATTGCTCACGCGGTTCCGGGTCGAGGATGTGGTTTCCAGTGGCGTGTTGGGGTTCAACGGTAGTGCATGTTATTATTTCTTTGCGTATTGGCCATATAGATACAGAGTCTTATAAGGTGATCTTCGAGGATCTTCTGTAGCGTTGAACGCGTAGGGTTCTTCCTCTAGCGTAGGTGGTGAAGAATAAAATTATGTTGCATGTTCGGATTCGAAGGAGAGTAGTGGCGTTTTCCTAAACATTGACGGTTGGATTGTGGTTTTGCGACCTTTTCCAAGACCATTGAGAGGCCTAGAAGAGCATTCTCTTGGGAGACACCAGTGTAACTTTTGTAGTCGGTGGGGGCTTAAGTGTAGCGTGTAGGGTCTATTGTTCTGGATCTGTGGTTCCATAGATTGTAGCGTGCCAATGAAATATACACTATGGACGTATTGTTTATTATAATATTTTACACTCATTTTATACACCGAAGCGCTGTCTATTAACAATTTTTTTTACATTTTTTTTGCAAACAATAAAAAACTATACATTTAAATATATCAATATTGTGATGACGTTGTTTTATCATAAACTACAATGAGCTAAACAATCAATCAGTAACAACAAGTGAATATTAGTAATAGTAAGTGAACCACATCTACATTGAGTGTTGCCGAGTTACATCCAGAAGCGGTTTGGACGATATAGCCGCTTGCGTAGGTCATGTTTACCATGAAGGCCCCCTCGCTTATGCCGTTCGGTGAACGTACCAGGAAGGAATACTCCCCGATGTCTGAGTTTGTCACTTTGGTTAGAAATAGGACTGCCTGGTGGCAATTCGTCGTTGAGTTCTGTGAACAAAGACTAGTTAAAGTCAAATTTCAACCGACGACCTTTGTGGATCGCCCTGTATATTTCTTTTACATACGAAAATTCCAGGAAATGAGCAATATCCTACTTTCATTTTGGGGTCTAAAGTGTAACACACCATTTGAGTTTTCGCGAATTTTCCACTGATCGGTGACTCCTCGGGGAAAGATGCTGAGGTTTTTAGAGCCTGAAGTACTGAATTTCTTTTTCGAATTTTAATTTTTTTTCTGTATTGTTCTTCATACCTTTTCTTTTATCCTCTCGCCAGGGCATATTATACGTAATTTACATTGTGTATGTAAACGTTACAAATTGTCATCTTTTCTTTTTTGTTAGTTATGTTTTCGTGGTTAGGTGGAAGCTCAGCAAGAGGAGCTTTTTGAAATTCTCACATTTTGTGTATTGAAAGGCTGAAGGTTTTCAAATCCCGAAACCTCTCTTTTTGAAGTCTTTATGGAGCCACCTTCAAATTTGTTTTAGGTCTCTGTAGTCGGCTTGAATTAGTTTTCAGAACATATCCCAAGAAGTTTGCTGATGTTATTTAGGGTCCTTACACTCCCTCTCCTGCTCCTGGCCCTGTTTCGTTATGGGAATTCTTGGACTTCATTTAGGGTCCTATAAAGTCATGTTAGAGCTTAGGGAGTTTATGGCGTTCTTAAAATTCCCCTTGAGGTTGTTAAGGTACCTAGCTAAATTGTTTTGATTCCCACAATCCTTGATGTTTGACGTTTAAATTTTGGAATTAAGTAACATCTGTTTTGGTAAGATTGCTAATGTTTGATCAGAACATGTTACAATTAATAAGCTGACAGTTTGTAGTATTTAATTAAAACCGTTATCTGAGGTATCACGCTTCGTGAAGTTAAAAAATTTGGCTAAGATGTCAAGCTTAACGACGGTATTAAGTTTATAATTAAGGGCGAAATTGATCGCGAACTGGGCAATTCTCAGTCTTTAATTAAAACCGATAGAGGGCGATCCCTTATCAATTAATGGAAAAGTGTAAGAGTGGGCTACACTTACGGTGATGTCATACGCAATTATCCCATCTTCCGAATTTCCGGGCCGGACAACTTTATCTCTCGCAATCCAGAAGACCTTGTTGTACGCCGGATTGGCACAGAATTCTATCGTGAGCGTTAGGGGCTGTCCGTAAACTGCGGTTATACTTTTGTTCGTCGGAAAGACCATCGGACGACCTGAAAGCAAAACAAAACATTGCATTGGCGTAGATAGCACGTCGAAATACATAATAAGAAAATATTGAGGTTAATTTCGCCATTTAAAATCAGGACTTGCTCCGTCTCCCTTTACATGTTTACTCTCGGCGGCTCTTATCTCTTATAATTGGAAGTGCCAAATTATTAGTTTGAGAAATCCCGTATAGGGCTCTAGGCATTACGGCTTCATCATGAAGACGCCTTAAAACTAAATCTCCGAGGCCGTGTTTAACATGCAGAGCATTCTATTAAGTGCGGTCGTACAAAAGTTATCGCGACCAAAGTTTGGATAATGCGGTATGGGCGTTTGTCCTCGCCAAGCGCGCCTCCCCGGGGACGAAATTAGCACGAAAACATCTACCGTTGACTGTTGCGGTTCTGTTTTATTACTCCTTACTCCCGCAGGAGCGCTTGCGACGTTATTGCCTACGAACCTGCGAGAGACATTACGTAATTGTGATTTAGCTTAAAATCACAACGCATCAGCTCCATTCCTGCTAGGCCACACTATTTAAGTTCATAACGCATTCGTAGATTTGAATTTGTGCCGCTTATTATTTAATCTCAAAATCTCAACAGTAAATTGTGTCGCTGTAAGTAAATATTGTAAACGTCCTGTTGGTCATCCTAAAGTCATAGGCGCGATAGTCATGCATGTCACTGCGACGTATAAAATCCGAGTCATTCCAAAGTCTTGCTTACTTTGAACAAAAGAGAAAAATTCTCAACGATATTTTACACTTCTTTCAAGAGAGGTGACTGTAAAAAAAACAATAAACTTTAAACACCATAGGGTCGGTTTTTTCATGTAATTGTTGAAAGATTTTGTAAAATATTGAAATTGTCTCGCTTTCGCCAAAGACGCGTTTAATCAAGCCCGAAATACACGACCTTTCCAAGGTCGTCTCCCGTATCACTGCACCCAAAAGACAACAAAACGCAGTGTGCTCGAACTGACATGGAGTGATCTATACGTTGGGAGAGAATTGGTTAATACACTATGGGAATATACAACATTTTTTTGCCCAAAGGTAAAGCACTTGTGAGAGAGGACAATTGAAGCTTCTAACATTAGGAATTATACTCTTAAGGATTCTAGGCATACGGAGACAGCTCTTGAAAGAACAGGCAAAGGAATATATTTTCAATGGCAAAACGGTTGATCATGTTGCCGCTTTCATCTCGACAAGCACGGAAGTGAGCAAATTAAATCAAACGAAGCCGAGTCCATGTTTCCAAAGAAACTTTTGTAATCGAAAAGCAGAATCGAGAGAAAGAGTAAATTTAATTTGAGAACATTAAAACCAAATTAGTAAAATTCGATGGAGTTGTAGGGATTCATCGGGGAGCTTTCCATTTCGGGTGCGATTTTCACGTATCGATTGAGCCCGTTTGAACTCTCGTTTTCAATGGAATGCAGCGGTAACTACGGAAATACACAATGCGCACCATTGATGCAAGTAACTTCAAAAGGTCTTTGTGTGAAAGTTTTATACGCAATAACTAGGTCAAACCAATATTATAATGCTACAAATGTTAAGAGTGGAAATGGTTTTAAAGGGACCATCAAAATTTTACCACGTTGCGTTTGCACAGCATATGAGATTCGAAATTTGACTACCTAAAAACCTTTGGATTCCCGAGCGAAACTGCGTGGTTTAGTTCTAGTCGAAGCTTTTAATGGAAGCGCTCCAATTTCTTGAACCACGCACTTTTAAAAAATGTCAAAGAGGCTTATTTCCAAGCGATCAACAGGAAAACTTTAATTGCCACTAGGAAGATTCTCCAATATTCAGTAAAATCGAAAATTTTCTGGATCAAAATCGTTTTTGGTTAACATGCACGATGTAATGGATTCGTAGACTATGGAAGATGCAGCATATCCACTACTAAACAGTTCTATCAGTTTGGATTACAGATGCATTGGATAGGCAAACTCTTTTCTCACCAACAGCAATTTAAACCTTTAATTACCACTCCGAAGTGACGATTTTTCAATATTCAGCAAAATGTAAATTTGCTGTATCAAACTCCTATTTGGTTAACATGCATGATTCCTAGACAAAGGAAGATGCAGCCTATCTACTACCAAACATCTCTGATAGTTTGGATTAGAGATGCCTCGGTAGACATTAGACAACCGAACATACACGATGTATTTGATTTCTAGACTAGAGAAAATGGAGCATATATACTACTAAACATTTCCGTCAGTTCGGATTAGAGATGCATTCGGTAGTTAAAATCTTTTCTCGCCAATAGCAATCAAACCTTCAATTGAAGTTGGACATTCTTCAATATTCTGTAACGTCGGAAATTTGCTGTATCAAAATCGTATTTGGTTAACACGCACGATGTGTTTCGTTCCTATACTAGGCCAATGCATCATATCCGCTACTAAACATTCCTGTGAGTTTGGATTAGATTTTACATCCTGCATTGGCCGCGAATCGAACACAGGTCATCCATTTCTTACAAATCATAGTCTAATGACATTTGGCTTCGTTGTTGACCATAAGAGCCTGTTCTGTAAAGTCAAGGTGCGACGGACTATAACAGACTACGGAAGATGCATATCCACTACTAAACATTTATGCCAATCTGGATTATAGAAAATAATTTTTTCTCGCCAATTCAAACCTTCAATTGCCACTCCGAGATTGAAAATTCTTCAAATTTAAATAAAGTCGGAAATTTCTTTGATCAAAATAGTATTGAATTATCATGCGCGATGTGTTTGATTTCTAGACTAGGGAAGATGCATATCCACTACTAAACATGTCAGTTTGGATTACATGCATTCGGTAGACAATAACACCCAATCTCCTTCGTTTTAGTGCTATGACGAATTGCTGCCACTTTTATACATGATAATGGAGGGTGGTGCAAGACGTAGAGTATAATTAAAGTATCCCACTTCTGCTAGTGTTATTTCACACAACCGCCCCTATTTATATAAGAGAAATGTTTCTCTAAAAGTGCCTTCGTAACCTTCTTCATGTTTGCTCCAGACGTGAGTAATAAGAAAACATTGTAGCCCATTTTAATATTTCACCGCATTCTCACATCTTTTTTAGTGGAACGTTTGAACGCATCTACCGCATCGTTTTTTTAAAATTCATGTCAGTTAGGTTATTTTTTGTTTTTTTTTACTATCTATCCCTGTTAGTATTCACCGTACGTATAAGAGCGACATGCATTATTTGTAAGGCAAATATTTTATTTCCCTATCTCGCCTGGCTCCATATTTTAATGCTGACATTTTTATTCCGCATTTGATGAAAACCAACCCTCCAACGTGAATGGCAAATAATAACACGTTGTCGAAACGTCGATCGGTCTAATTGACGTATTCAATTTGATGATTTGGGACTTCGTAAATCGGCTTTGGATTTGAATTGGATTAGGTGAGTGCACAAAAAAAATATATGTTTACGTTTTGTCTTTGGGTATCAAATCGTATCGAGATTTAGTAAATATTATAAGTTGTAGAGTTTTAGGGCTTTAATATCCGGAGAAGCGGCTTACTCGAAAAGAATTCGAAGGTTTCTCTTTTTTGTTTTGGATGGAAGTATTTCGATGAGGCCATAATCCAAGTTTCTGACGATCGACTTGTCCAATTTTTAATATTTATAGGACAGATTAGCTTAGATGAGATTTTATTTCCACATTGCACAACTATATACCTACCAACTTGTGTCAGTATTTATTCATCTATTGTCATAGTAAGGAAATATTGGAGGTAACGAAGGACGGATTATGGTGCAATTTGATTTTCCGCTCTATTTTCATGAAATTGGCGGATGCCATTTGCACGTGTGCATAGTACGAAATTAGTGAATTCAAAAAATCAAGAGCTCCAACAACTTCAGAAGCCTCATCTAGGTTACAAGAGTCAAGGGTGGGTAGGGTACAGTCCTGCAGTTCTGCACAAACAGGATGTGTTAAGGCCCATCGTCGATTTTAGTAACTGCAGTAACATCAGGGAGTTTAAGAGTCATGGGTTGTAAGAACTTACAAGCATCAAGGAAGTTATTGGAGTCAATTCATGATATTTTGGAGGTATTAGAGGTTCGTTTTTTACGTACCTAACTGTCAGCGCACACCAAGCGATTTGTGCACATTAACAAAGTCTTTAGGCTTCTCAAAATTATCGTTTTGAACTTGTTGCAACTTTTTCCTTTGGTATTTCCAAACAGCGTGTGCTTATGGCCTATATCATAAAATTTTTGTAGACTTTAATAATCGCGATAAAGTTTTATGGCTTATATGTATATTAGTCCAGTCTAGGAAATATAGAAAAAAATAATTCGTGTAGTTCCAACTTTCTCGGGAATGTGTGGTTGAACGTCTCCTGATGATTGTGGAATACAGTCCCATGAAGATCATCTACGTCCTCTTCATCTTCTGCTAGCCCCGCATTTGGTAGTACAATTTTCTCTGCGGCTGGAAATGTTGATTCGTCAGGTCTTCGGGTTGATTCGAGTTCCTTTGATCCATAGCTTTTATGAGGATGCGACGTAATCTTCTTGGAAATATAACGTGCTTCGTTCTAGAAAATTCGAACATTTCATCGAATTTAATAGTATTTGAGAATCTCTAAGGATTTCGCCTGTTAAAGTCGCCAATCATCGAGGGGTCTTTCAAGGCCTTTGAGAATCTGTAAAATCAAAGTATACCTTTGAAGTGTCTTTAAGACCCTTAAGGACCTTTTATGAACGGTCAAGATTTCTGGCAGCTTTGGAGAATCGTTAAGGTCTGTAATAGGGTAATGTACGGTTTCAAGTTTAATACTTAAAATTGGTTCTACGATATCAACCTTTGAATGCCCATGGAGTTACTCAGAGCCCTCTAGGGAATGCAATCCCGCAGCAAAATCTTAATCGCGGTATTTGCGGGATTGCTAGATGTTAATCCCGCGGGATCCCGGTATTTGCGGCATCCCGCAAAACTTTAAATAAATTGGCAACCAAGCAATTCTGTGCGGTTAATTTCTGCATTAAAATAATCGCTAATTATCACAATATTTAA